CTTGTGCCGGCTGGCTGCTTGTCGACGTGAAGTCGGCCTTCCTGCTGCTGGGAAAGAGGGACGGCCACGGACCGTGCCCAGTTCGCTCGTCCTTTCGCGTGCAGGCTCAAGGGAGCCATAACACGTGAGCGAGGAAGGCAGCCGCCCTTCAACGGTTACGGCTTTCCTCGGCCGTGTCGCTCGGGAACAAGCGATTCCGAGGTAGCCCTTAAACATATTTGTTGCCCTGAGGAAGATGAACAAAGTGCTGCTGACAAAAACGCGCCTTACGCAGGTGGCGAAGAACTCAGAAGTTTGGCCCCAACAAGCTTCTGCCTCCCCCCCCCCCAAAAAAGAAAAGAAAAGAAAAGAAAGAAAATCTTCTGCTGGATTTTTCAGTCCAACGTTAAGTTAGCAAATGTAAATAAGTCTGCTGTCTGTTCATTAAACAGTTACTTCACAGCCGCTAAAATATTCTCCATTGAGAACCTGAGAATGAAACTAGCCTTACATGAGACCGCTCTACAACCTGAGAAAAACGTAGAAAGCTATTAAGATGGAAAAATGGATATTCTTTCAGTATTCTATAGTTTTCCTAGTTACAAAAAAAATATAATCTGCGCATCTGTTCATAATTGGAAATGTCTGAACTGAGGAGGAATCTCTTCAATTTTATGGAAACTTTACTAAAATAGAGTTATTTCCAAAGAACAAGTTTCACTACAGTAGAGGTAATTGTTTTAAGTTACATAATCCACCAGTGTTTTTAAAATGGAAGAGAGTAACATGAATCTTCTTGGTGGTTGTATTTCAAATGTTGTTCAGGAATAGTAATGAAAAAACGGTTTGAAAACCTTTATTTGTATTTTCACTCTTAAATAGCATTTACCGAATCACAGAGTGGTTGAGGTTGGAAGGGACCTCTGGAGATCATCCAGTCCAACCACCCTACCTCAAGCAGGGTCACCTAGAGCACATTGCCCAGGTTCCTGTCCAGACAGCTTTTGAACATCTCCAAGGAAGGAGATGTCTTTATATAAGCCAAGTAAAACAGGAAGGGTTTTTTAAAATGAGAATCAGAGAACAAAAACAACACAAACCTGAAAGATTACAGGTGCAAAAGCAAAGTGGATTTTTTCAGTGATAAAAGATTTTCCAAAGTCAGCATCTAAGGCGCAGGCCTTAGTCAAGCGGCCTGTTTTCTAAAATAATGGCTGTGAGAACCAACATCTACATCTGCCATTTGTTTCTCTGGATGCTCAGCCACTGTGAAAATCAGGTCACCTATTTGGTCCCTAACTCATCATTTGCTTTGCACCTGTGGCTATTTTACCCAAGAAAGAGCTATGCGGAAGAGAAGAAGTCATTACATGCACATAGAAACCTGCCAGAGCAGCTTGCCAGGCTGGGACATAAACACTCATTCACCTAGATTTGGCACAACTAAATTGGCCTAAATCTGACAGCCGTTCTAAGAAAACTGAAAGGAACTTTTTTTTTTTTTTTTAGTTTTTCTGTTTGTGGATTTCTTCCTAATTCAAAACCAACTTTGTCCCTGGCCTCTTCATAAATGTGTAAGTCCAGGCAACCTTCTCTTATAAAGTGGTTAGATGTCCATTACTTGCAATTGTGTTTTTAGCCTTACTTCCTAAGAAGACAAAGCTTATGTCCCTGGGTGGTCTGCGTGTTGTCCTTTCGTCAGGCAACACCACGACACATTCTCCACCCAGTAACTTCTGAACCTCCGGATTAATTTCAATCAGTTTTCACAGAAGAAGAAAGATGCCAAGATACTGAAGTCCCAGCAAGTTTCATGAGGGTCAGCGGCTGCGAGGCGGTAAGACCCTGCTAGCATGCCTCCTCCCGCCCCGGCCCCTGCCCAGGGCAAGTGCTCCTGCCTGAGCGAGACTCACCAGACCCCGCACCAGAGCTGCACCCCACACACATGGGCGTAGACCACCAGCCTGCTCACAGCACTGGTTGTTTTAAGCAGACCAGGCAGCTTAACTTGTCCTTTGCAATATTTTGAACTTGGGCAGTATTCTTGTGCCATATTTTACAAGTGTATTATTGATCGATTGTGTTTAAAAGGTGAAAGAGCAGTTCCAAAGTAACCAAGGCATGTTTTTTTCTAGCCAAGAGGAAGCTTCCCTTACTAGTGTTGTAATGAGTGGATGAAAGGCATTCATATTTTAAAATCTACATAAAATTCAATAGCTGTAATTTTTCTGTAACTTTGCTTTTGTGGTTTGCTATTTTTTCTGAAATAGTCTTACAAACTGGAAGTAAAACTACCGCCTGTAAAGAATACAGAAACTTTTAAAAGTCCAGTCTTTAATATGTTAGCAACACTTTATACTTATTATTTTAGCAGTTGTCTTGTAAGCATACAGTTGAACCTCGTTAATAAATTACCAAATATTGTGAAACTTAAATACCTTTGACCAAACCTGGAGCCAGCCTGCCAGAAATCCTACTGTTTTATCAAGTTGCATTGAATTCTTCTGAATCATTTGCTATAAAAATGGACAAAATTGTTTCTTTCCTCAAAGAAAAAAAAAGAGCGTTCACCATCAGACTTGTCACTTACTCTCTGCCACTCTTGCCCTGAACAATTGCCTAGAACTCTTAATTAAAAATTAATACATCGGAGTTAAAAGGGGATGGGCAATGGCACACTGACCTTTTCTGTCTTCTTCAGACGCAGACGTACTGCTTAGCCTGGTTGCCAGCGGAGATGAACTACTGTTACTGCACTGTCTTCATGCATATGTGTGCACATCTGCGTCCTCTCGGGTATTTTTTGGATCTTTGGCCAAGCTCAGTCAAATTCAACACAGCACTGAAGTTTTGACGAGTTTCTTTGAATTCGTCAGTCATGTAGTGGAGAAAGGCCTGAATTAGTGCCCCCACTATGGAGAGGACTGCTCACCCCTTGTTACGCAACTGAGAATCCACCCAGGAGAGGAGCACTCTGCATTGCGCGAGGACAGGAAAAGCTTTACACAGAGCTTACATTTTATTAGATGTGAGAGAATGGAACTACGAGATAGAAACTGATAGGAAACCTGGTTTCATTAGCGCAACTGCACACAGAACCATCTGCTTATTTATTTATTGTGTTGACAGGATCCAGTGCTGCAATTTCAGCTACGGACAAATGGTAACTGATGTCATGGTATTTAAAAAGAAAAATGTACTCCCTGTTCCTGTTTCTTTGTGTTTCTTTTCATCTCACCAGGAAGTTCAAGGACATTATCAAAAGATACTTAGGCAAGCCATGTTAATTTTTTAGGCCAAGGTGCATGATTCAATTTCCTTGATATAGGAGATGACAGTTGGCAGTCCAAAAGGGTTTCTGCATGTTGTGTTGACAATAACAGGAATAAACACTTACGGTTACATTAGTGATAACTGCTCAGCGCTGCCTGATGCCTTCACAAAGAGAAATGGCTGCAGTGCATTAGACGCCCTTCTGCAACGGGCCTCCCTGAAGCGCAGCTCGTGCCCCAAGCCTGCTCCACGGGCCAAGCAAAGCTTGCTCAGTGGGGACAGCCAGGAGTTTTGCTTCAGAAGTGCACACCTCATCCAGCCTAAAACATTACTCTATACATACATATTTACATTATGTAGCGTAACAGCCTCTGCTAGTGAAGACAGAATTAGGTGGGGCTTGTAGCAATAAAAGTAAAAAGTTGTGAAACTTTGGCAAGACAAGCAAAGCTATGATAGACTAGTTTCCACCTGCCTAAAAGCTGCTCAGTGGATGTCTTTCTTTATCCCTGAAGAAGACATCATGTAAATATCAAAGATACCGGTGCAAAGATTACCTTTAAATAGTTTTTTAAATAGAATGACAGTTTTCCTCAGCTTCCCTTCAGCTAAATGAACTTTAAAATAGTAACTATTTTTACCAATAATCATCTGAGTAAATGTAAAATTCGTCAACATTCTACATTTTTAACATTGTCTTTTGGTTTGTTGATGAATGCCTGCTAACAAGGGGCTTATCCCTGGCTCTGTTGCACGCTTGAATGCATCTTTCAGTAAGTCATTTCATTATTTAGCACATGCGTTTTTCTCTATCCGCAGTACCAGAAAATATTAAAGCTGTAAAACATATATACAAATATATATATTTTCACAGTCCATTTACTTTCTATTCAAATGGCTAGGAAATATTAGTTTAAATGCTCATTTGAACAACTCCTGGAAAAAAGTTATAGACAACATCTTCACTGTCTGACTGCATACAGAATAATTTAGCTTTGCTAGGCCTATACACTGCTGAGTGCTCTCTATGGGATAAGCATGGCCGCGTTGTGAGCCAAGGGATTTTGGAGGTTTCGATGTGGGTTACGCAGTTATCCACAGCGGAGAGGCAGCTTCCCGGCAGCAGCTGCAGCGTGCTGGCAAAGTGGTTCCAGCTTCACGGCACGATCGCTGGCGGGCAATGGCAACTGGTAAGCGCTGCGACAAGCAGCAGAAGCGGCGAAACCAGAAGAGTTAAGGGGAAACAAACGCTCCTGGTTAGTTACAGGTTTTTAACTACGCACAGTAACAATATAGGAGTTATCCTATATACAATGCACACACAAACATATATAAAAATACCTATACATTCGCAACATTTGAGTTTTGCAGGTCGCTGCAAATGCCCTGCTTTGCTTTTTCAGCAGGGGTAGGCCAGTTAATATGAAATGCCAATGCAGATTTTATTATTTTCATTGCTCTTTGCGCCCAGTGCTGGCTTTTAAGAAGCTTGTCCTACCTGATTCTGAGCTACAGAGTCCAGAAAATTAAAAAAATAAAAATAAATCGGGCAACCTTGCTGCATTTTGGTGAAATGTTTTGCGAGCCTCTTGCTTATTAATAGTACTAATGCTGCCACCTTGTGGGAATAAACCCTGTAGCAATTTCAACGTCGAGTTTGCCCTCTGGTAGAGAAGTGGGTATTTTAAGAACAAGTGTCAAGAACAGTAACGATAGACTTTTAAATGTTTGCATGTTTTTATTATTATAATTTAAATGTTTTCTAACTAGAGAAATTACATCACTCAACCTATGTTATTGTGATTAAACCAGTAGGTTATATGGGGAAGCAGTATTCAGCGTGGTCCAGAAAAAGATTTGGGCTTTCTGACTACCTAAAATTTTGTAGCGTTTTTCAGCAGAGGTAACAAAATCCATCCCAACTCATTCGGGGGTAGAAGGAGTACTGCTGTCCGTGAAAACAGTGAATATGTTTCTTCCATAGCCCCTTTTGGCCACCATAGTTGCTTCTTAGAGCCACTACTTAAAGCTACTGCATTGTTTCTCAGTATGTAGCTTTGAAAATCCACTTCTAACTAACAGCTAGGAAAGCATCTCAGCATTACATTATTTTTCTGAAATACGCACATTTTTTGGTCAGAACAGTTGTTTTGGAAATGTTTTCATTGGCATGTGCTTTTATATTCAAAGTGAAATACCAGTTATTTTTGAGAACTACTGAGTTAAGGTTCCAGCCAGAAAAAGAAATTGCACCGACAATTTAAACATGTGTTTCTGGTATTTTATTTTCAATTTCACATGCTTATGCAAATACAGCTTTGTATGTTGATATGCACATTAAATACTTGATAGACTTTTATTACACACCCTTATAACCCACCTTAGCAAGCTACTAAGCAGTTTCTGAAGTCCATCCATAGTCATAAAGCATGTACTTAGTGTTTCACTGAATATAATTGAATTGGCAAAGTGCAGCTTAAGCAAACAAAATGCCTAGAAAAGTCAGAGACAGAAGAGTTTTGCCCTAGAGCCCAGAAAATTAATAGTGTATCAAAACAACATTCTTTTGAGTAAATTACTGCAATTTCAATGGGATTGTATCTGTCACTTTTTAAATAGGGTGGGGGTGGAAAGGTTGGTTTGCTTCTATAGGTATTATTCCAAAGACAAAAAGATAACTTCCAGAAGTACAGTAACGTCCAGAAAACAGTATGTCTTTAAGAGACAAAGCAATCCTTTTAGATACTTTTAACTATTTTTTAAAATTTATGCTCTTTACAAATGTAAAATAGTTCCAAAGCTGTAAAGGAATCTGTGGATCTGCATTCCTTGCACAACTAAAAGTCTCATCGAGGGAGAAGTTTGAAGCATGAATAAAATCTGGCACTGCGCTCTGAACAAGTCTCACACACATCAAGAGTCCCCTTGAAGAGCTAGCAGCATATACGGCAGCAAAGGACATACACAAGTTATTAGTTTCACCATTTTGCATCAGACCCTGGTTCAATAAAACATCTGTCTGCCTAGAAAGAATGCTAAAAATATGCTTAATTTTGAACTTACTGAAGTACTCTCCTAAATCAGGGTGCAGAAGCATTTTGTAAAGCCTCAGAGCATGAAATATGTTTGATCTTAGGGTACTTTCAACTCATTTGTGCTAGGCTGCAAACTAATGTGGGGCCATGACATTTAAACCTTTCCTGATACAGCATCATGCCAGTATCATGTGTCACGTTGCTATTAAACCTTTGGACCATGAGGCTGGAGCAGCTGATGAGGGCAAAGGTATTTCTCTCTTTCCCACCCCTCATTAATTCCTTGTTCCCCTGCTGTTCGGGGCTTTCGGAGGCATTTCAGGCGCTCATGGACAAGGGTGGGACAGGAGGTGCCACCGCTTTACGCCTCATCTCTGTGCCCAAAGGCCACCCCTCCTCTAGCACTACCCCACCAAGGCCTGCTCCTCTCCAGGGCCTGCTCAGCCTGCCTGTGTGTGTGTGTGTGTGGAGCTTTGCTGCCCACCTTGCAGAGGCAGGGAGCATGCCCCCCACCCCTGCCCTTTCCTGCGGCTGGAGCAGAGCTGCCCTGTGGCTTGCGCTGTCCCAGCTTCCACAAGTGGGAAACTGTGGGGGCAACATGGGGCTCCGGCCAGGCTAGGATGCACAGGGCACAAGTCGGGTGTTGCAGGTGCTGCAATACTACGGTAGTAACGAAGCCTAATATATTGGCAGTGCATGTATTTAGAACTGCAGTACGACATGGTATTGACAGGTTGCTTATTATTCCTGCAGACTCCATTTTGAAGGATGAAGCTTGTTTACCTTCCCTGCTGTCTTTCTGCCTCTGACTTGAGCTGATTACCTAGCAGCAGTAGACACAGAAATCCTGATGATAACTATCAGCAGCGCACTGGCATACGGTGATGATCAGCTAACGATTTCCGGGAGTCACTCCAGACAATCCAGTCTCTCAAGAGTAGAGAGCTGCCCAGCACAGAAAGCTGTCCCATAGGTCATGCAGTAGTGCTGGCACGGAGAAACGGACGTCTTGTTCTCATGGTCTTCTGGAGTTCATAGACTTCAAGTACATCCACCCTACAATTTAAAAGCTGAACTCAAGGCCAGCCTGTTGTTCTGAGGGCACGCTTTCTGGGTACAGCTTAGCTGTCATGCCTAGGATAAAAGTGGGATAGCGCTCTTTAGAGCGCTCTCAAGTGCATATTAGCCTACAGACGAGCCCAAAACGCTGTGTTTGGTCTACCTATCTCACTGTTTCCCATTTGCCTTTATGGGAGGTCACTTGGCTAATTTTAGGAAGACCGTAACCTTGGGTTGCTCTTGCAACAGCAGGTGGGATTTGAAGGCTGACTGACTTCAAGCTACCCTGAAAGACAAAATACATAAACAGAGTCTGTCTCAGGACTCCTCTGGCTGTCGAGTCACTCTGGACCCCCAGGACACAGCACAGATGCAGTCGCTGTGATCAGCTGCTTGCAGCTGCCTTTCTGAGGCCAAGAGGAAAGTCAGGTCCTGTATAAACCAGGCCTGTATGGCAAAGCACACGGGGAAAAGGGCAGGCACTGTCTCTGGGGATGCCTTACCTCAGTGCTTCCCTGATACCAAACATTCCCCATTGTAAACCCCAACTTTTTCTCTGCACTTAAAATCAGATATTCAAAAGTAG